ACTACTACTACTACTACTACTACTACTACTACTACTACTACTACTACTACTATTACCATTACTACTATAACTACCACTACGACTACGACTACTACTACGACCACTACGACCATTAGTATTAGTATTACGACTACTACCACTATTGCGAGTTCTACTGCTACTACTACTACACGACTACCAGTCCTAGTACGACTAGTTCTACGACTATTACTACTACTACTCCTACTCCTACTACTACTACTACTACTACTACTACTGCTGCTACTACTGCGACGAGTTCCTCTTCTATTACTAGTAAGACTACTACCACTACTACTAGTACGACTACTACAACCACTACTATTATCACTACTATTATCACTACTGCTCAAACTTCGGTTACCAATACAATTATTATTTTTTATGACTACTACTACTACTGCTACTACTGCCCGGCGACAACGACTATGCTTATTACGACGATTACTATCAGCACTACTACTACGACCAACCCTTCTACGACTACGACCATTGCTACGACGACGACTAGTATTATTACTACTACTATTCTTATTACTTCTGCTACTACGACAATGAATGCGGCGACGAGTACTCCGAGTACGACCATTCCTATGATTCTGAATAGTACGACTACTATTACAACTACTGCTACTACCACGACTCTTACTATTACGGCTGCTACTATTATTATTACGACGACGCTTACGAATGTTGCTACAACGACTACAACCATTTTGTTTACTATTACGATTGCGTCGAATACTACTACGACAACTATTACGATTACGGGTTAGAAAACGAGTGTTACCATTTTCGCTATTACTACTATTTCTACGGCTTATACGGTTTGAGGAGTAGTAGTAGTAGTACGATGGTTGTTGCCACACCAATTTTTAATACTATTACAACTACGACGACTACGACGACTACTTCTTTCACGTCTACTACTACACTACGACTATCACTACCACTACCACTACTACTGCTGCTATTACTACTACAACTACTACTACTACTACTACTACTACTACTACTACTACTACTACTACTACTACTACTACTACTACTACTACTACGACTACTACTACGACTACGACTACGACTTCGACTACCATCATTACTATTACTACTACTACGACTACTACGACTAGTACTACTACTACTACTGCTACTCTCACTTCCACGGCTACGGATGCGACTACGATTGATGTTGTTATCAATACTCCTACACTTAATACTCCGACTTATATTCATAGTTTTGTTGTTACTACGAATATTATGATTACTACAAGTATTACGACTTCTACTACTACGGCTACTACTACTACAATTATTATTACTACTACTATTTTTACTACTACTACTACTACTACTACTACTACTACTACTATTACTACCACTATTACTATTATTATTACTACTACTACTACTACGGCTATCACCACGACTACTTCTACTATTTGTAAGATCGGCATTATTTTTATTACAACTACGACAACTACTACCAATACGGCTACGAGTACGACTACAATT